TTATTATTATTATTATTATTATTATTATTATTATTATTATTATTATTATTATTATTATTCAGCTTATCAAGGATGGGCAGCTTCATTTTCAACGTTGGATTCATTTATTGCTCAAAACAGGAAAAGATCCCAGCACTGTGGGATCAAAAATTTATTAAAATTTACTGAAATTTATTCTGTTTATTATTAAAATTAATTGTGTTGGTCCCTGATTTTTGGGGATTGAGGGCAGGGAATGAAAAGGGATAAAAGGAAATTATTCCAATGCTTTGGAATCATCAAATCCTGAAATTTCTTCTGTTTATTATTAAAATTTTCAAATTAAAATTTAATTGTGTTGGTCCCTGATTTTGGAAACTGAGTACAGGGAAGGAAAAGGGAAAACAGGAAAAAATTCCAGCACTGTGAGATCAAAAATTTATTAAAATTTACTGAAATTTATTCTGTTTATTATTAAAATTAATTGTGTTGGTCTCTGATTTTTGGGGATTGAGGGCAGGGAATGAAAAGGGATAAAAGGAAATTATCCCAATATTGTGGAATCAAATCCTGAAATTTCTTCTATTTATTATTAAAATTTTAAAATTAAAATTAAATATGTTGGTCCCTGATTTTTGGGGACTGAAGGCAAGGAAGGAAAAGGGAAAACAGGAAAAAATTCCAACACTGTGATATCAAAAATTTATTAAAATTTACTGAAATTTATTCTGTTTATTATTAAAATTAATTGTGTTGGTCTCTGATTTTTGGGGATTGAGGGCAAGAAAGGAAAAGGGATAAAAGGAAATTATTCCAATGCTTTGGAATCATCAAATCCTGAAATTTCTTCTGTTTATTATTAAAATTTTCAAATTAAAATTAATTGTGTTGGTCCCTGATTTTTGGTAACTGAGTACAGGGAAGGAAAAGGGAAAACAGGAAATGATTCCAGCACTGTGGAATCAAAAATTTATTAAAATTTACTGAAATTTATTCTATTTATTATTAAAATTAATTGTGTTGGTCTCTGAATTTTGAAGATTGAGGGCAGGGAATGAAAAGGGATAATATGAAATCATCCCAATATTGTGGAATCAAGTCCTGAAATTTCTTCTGTTTATTATTAAAATTTTAAAATTAAAATTAATTGTGTTGGTCCCTGATTTTTGGGAATTGAGGGCAGGGAAGGAAAAGGGAAAACAGGAAAAAATTCCAACACTGTGGGATCAAAAATTTATTAAAATTTACTGAAATTTATTCTGTTTATTATTAAAATTAATTGTGTTGGTCCCTGATTTTTGAGGATTGAGGGCAAGAAAGGAAAAGGGATAAAAGNCCTGCTCTGGGATCTGGGAAATTGGGAATTTCTATGGGATAAAATGGTTTAGGAAATGAGGAATAATCCAGGAATCTCCAAAAAATGGAGATGGATTTGTAGCAGAGTCATAAAATCATGGAATGGTTTAGCCTGGAGAAGGTCATCAGGATTTTCTCTGTTCCTTGGGAATTAAAATGGAACCATGAGCATCCCCAGGGTTGGGATATTCCCAGAAAAAATGGGAAAATTCCCAGTTTCCTGCTCTGGGATCTGGGAAATTGGGAGTTTTTATGGGATAAGGGGGTTTAGGAAGTGAGGAATAATCAGCCAGGGGGGATAGAAATGGAATTGTGGCAGAGTCATAAAATCATGGAATGGTTTAGCCTGGAAAATATAATCAGGATTTTCTCTGTTCCTTGGGAATTAAAATAGAATCATGAGAATCCCCAGGGCTGGGATATTCCCAGAAAAAATGGGAAAATTCCCAGTTTCCTGCTCTGGGATCTGGGGAATTGGGAATTTCTATGGGTTTAGGAAGTGAGGAATAATCCCTCAGCCAGGAATCTCAAAAAAACCCAAAAAAATGGAGATGGAATTGTAGCAGAGTCATAAATCATGGAATGGTTTAGCTTGGAGAAGATTGTCAGGGTTATCCCTGTTTCTTGGGCACAGGAATTGGGAATTAAAATAGAACCATGAATATCCCAGGATTGGGATATTCCCTGAAAAAACAGGGAAAATTCCCAGTTTCCTGCTCTGGGATCAGGGAAATTGGGAGTTTTTATGGGATAAGGGGGTTTAGGAAGTGAGGAATAATCCCTCAGCCAGGAATCTCCAAAAATCAAAAAAATGGAGATGGAATTGTAGCAAATAAAATCATGGAATGGTTTAGCTTGGAAAATATCATCAGGACAGGAATTGGGAATTAAAATAGAGCCATGAATATCCCAGGGGTTGGGATATTCCCAGAAAAAATGGGAAAATTCCCAGTTTCCTGCTCTGGGATCTGGAAAATTGGGAATTTCTATGGGTTTAGGAAGTGAGGAATAATCCCTCAGTCAGGCATCTCCAAAAAACAACCCCAAAAAAATGGAGATGGAATTGTAGCAAATAAAATGATGGAATGGTTTAGCCTGGAAAAGATCATCAGGATTTTCCCTGTTCCTTGGGAATTAAAATAGAACCAGGAGCATCCCCAGGGTTGAGATATTCCCAGAAAAAATGCAAAAATTCCTGTCAAAGCTCAGCCTGAACCTTGCTGCTCTGGGATCTGGGAAATTGGGAATTTCTATGGGATAAGGGGGTTTAGGAAGTGAGGAATAATCCAGGAATCTCCAAAAAATGGAGATGGAATTGTAGCAAATAAAATCATGGAATGGTTTAGCGTGGAAAAGATCATCAGGATTTTCCCCCTGTTCCTGGGGCACAGGAATTGGGAATTAAAATAGAACCATGAGGATCCCCAGGGTTGGGATATTCCCAGAAAAAATGGGAAAATTCCCAGCTTCCTGCTCTGGGATCAGAGAAATTGGGAATTAAAATAGAGCCATGAATATCCCAGGGGTTGGGATATTCCCTGAAAAAACAGGGAAAATTCCCAGTTTCCTGCTCTGGGATCTGGGAAATTGGGAATTTCTATGGGATAAAATGGTTTAGGAAATGAGGAATAATCCAGGAATCTCCAAAAAATGGAGATGNTGGATGGATGGATGGATGATGGATGGATGATGGATGGATGATGGATGGATGGATGGATGGATGGATGGATGGATGATGGATGGATGGACGGACGGACGGATGGATGGATGGATGGACAAAGGAATGGATGAACCCATGGAGGGATCCATGGATGGATGGATGGACAGATCCATGACTGGATGAAGAGACAGAAGGAAGGATGGATGGATCCATAGATCAATCCATGGATGAATAGATGGATCCATGGATGGATGGACAAAGGAATGGATGAATCCATGGAGATATGGACAGATGGATGGATGGACAAAGCAATGGATAAATCCATGGATGGATGGACAGATCCATGGATGGATGAAGGAATGGATGGATCCATGGAGAGATGGACAGATCCATGGATGGATGGATGGATGGATGGACAAAGAGATGGAAGAGATGGATGTATCCATAGATCAATCCATGGATGAAGGAATGGATGGATCCATGGAAAGATGGATGGATCCATGGATGGATGGACAGATCCATGGATGGATGGACAGACCCATGGATGGATGAAGGAATGGATGAATCCATGGAGAGATGGACAGATGGATGGATGGACAGATCCATGGATGGATGGATGGACAAAGAGATGGATGTATCCATAGATCAATCCATGCAAGGGTCCATGGATGAAAAGCTGGATGGATGAAGGAATGGATGAGTCCATGGATGGATGGACAGACCCATGGATGGATCCATGGATGGATGGACAGACCCATGGATGGATGGACAGACCCATGGATGGATGGATGGACAAAGGGATGGATAAATCCATAGAGGTATCTATGGATGGATGGACAGATTGATGCATGGATGAAGAAATAGAAGGAAGGATGGATCCATAGATTGATCCATGCAGGGAATCCATGGATGGATGAAGGAATGGATGAGACCTTGAAGGGATGGACAGACCCATGGATGGATGGACAGACCCATGGATGGATGGACAGATCCATGGATGGATGGATGGGCAAAGAGATGGATGTATCCATAGATCAATCCATGCAAGGATCCATGGATGAAAAGCTGGATGGATGAAGGAATGGATGAGACCTTGAAGGGATGGACAGACCCATGGATGGATGAAGGAATGGATGAGTCCATGGATGGATGGACAGACCCACGGATGGATGGACAGACCCATGGATGGATGAAGGAATGGATGGATCCATGGATGGGTGGACAGACCCATGGATGGATGGACAGACCCATGGATGGATGAAGGAATGGATCACTCCATGGATCCATGGCTCCAACCTGGCCTTGGACACTTCCAAGCATTTCCCACAACCTCTGTGGGAAATCCATCCCACCCTTTACAGGAAGGAATTTCTTCCCAATCACTTTGAAACCACTCCTGGGTGTTCTCCTCCTGTTTATTCCCTGTTTTTGATGGTTTTTCCCTGTTTTTTCCTCTCCAGGTGCCAGCATGTCCACGGATGGTGGCTTTGGCACGGGGAGCAGCGATGCCCAGCAGAGCCTGCAGAGCTTCTGGCCACGGGTGATGGAGGAGATCCGGAACCTGACCGTGGTGAG